TTGCAGAGGAGTCAGTAGACACTATACACTACTTCAGACCTGCCTCCTGTGCCCATGGCTTCTGCTACAGACTCTGGGCCAGTGAGGGTACAACAGAAAGATGATAGGTCACCTGAGTTTGTGTTCCCGAGGGCTCTTCCCTCACCCCTCACCCCGCCTTCTTTTTTAAAATTTTTTTGTGAGACGGCCTTTTGTAGCTTACACTGGTCTCCAACTCTGTATCAAAGGGAGACCTTGAGCTCTTGGTGTCCTGTCTCTACCTCCCAGTGCTGGGAGCTCAGGTGTCCAGCACCACACCTGGTTTTGAACGCAGAACTTAGTGAATTTCTGAGCCAACTGAGCTACATTCCTATCCCCAGTAAATTCTTACAAATACCATAACCAGTACATTTATTAATAGACAGGGACAAAGGTTATGTTTTTCAACGGTGTGTTGGGTTTTTCCCACCTCTGGTTAGTTATGACAAGCCACTGTTTTTCTATCCCTGGCATTTTGTATCCACTCTCATATTCATCTAGTTCTCCAAAATAAATTCTGAAGCTGCATCCTTTCTTCCCCCTCCTCCTGCTCTTCCTCCTCCCTCTACTCCTCCCTCTACTCCTCCCCCTTCTACCCCCCCTCCTCTTCCTCCCCTACTCCCCCCACTCCTTCTCTTCTGCCCTTACATGACCGTGGTCATCATACCCGGATACTGGATCTGATCGACACTTTCCTGTGCAAGACTCCTGGCCACCTCCAAACCACACATATCCCCCTCACACAGCAGTTCCTCCTCGCCTGTATCCTTCCCAGCTGGGCTGCTCATTTTTACACCACTTATATTTTTCCTCTCTGAAATGAATATAAGCTTCATGAAGGCAGCAACCTATTTGTGTTGCTTTTATTTCTGAAATCTCCACAGTGACTGGCAAGTAGCTAAATAGGGAGGGAAGGAAGGAAGGAAGGAAGGAAGGAAGGAAGGAAGGAAGGAAGGAAGGAAGGAAGGAAGAAATGAATGCTGGTTGATCGGTCATTAATGAGGGTAATGCTGGAAATAGCCCCAGAATTGGCTTGTGAGAAACATCAAAAAAGTGTTCCAGGTCGCTGAGAGAACACACCCAGTTCTCTGTCATTTAGAAAACAGGGTCTCTATGGCCACGCTCCCCAAGCCCAGCAGTGAGCCCCCAGCTCTGTGAGAATGAGGACGGCAGACCTGGGGCTTGCTGACCAACTGCTAGCCTGGACACTCTGTCTTAGGGTAGTGAGGTAGACAGTAACGGAGCAGGAGACCTGGTCTCTTCTCTTCGCTCCCTCCCTCCCTCCCTCCCTCCCTCCCTCCCTCCCTCCCTCCCTCCCTCCCTCCCTCCCTCCCTCCCTCCCTCTCTCCCTCCCTCCCGTCCCCTCCCTCCCCCTCAAATATTATGCCTTTGCTCAGCAGTTCTCTATCCAGCAAAGGAATTTGACCCTGCAAAGATGGCTGTCAGGCTGACTGCTAAGTGCCTTTGCAGAGCTGTGGGGTGTGTGCTGATAATGAGCCTGCACAGAAGGTTCCCTCACCCACACCTGTCCAGAAGTTTGGGGGAGAACAGACGTGTTCCTGGGAAATTTCATTTGTGTCCCCCCAAACAGTCTTCTCTTGTATGTTGATTTATTATCATCATCATCATCATCATCAATGGAGTTGTCGGTGACTCCTCAGGTACTTTTTAATTAAAACGATATAAAACCTTGATCTCATTTTTCATTAATTTTTCTCACTCTGTTTGTACATTAGTTTTCTCTGTGGTGGGTATGATGTGTGCATGTGTATGTACACAATCATATAATGCATATACATACATGTGTATATATAATGAACATGCACCTCTAAGTGATATGTTTTATTGTTTTGAATTCCTTAACATTTAATGGTGCACTACCCTCGCAGTTATTTCCATTAAAAAGGTCTGCTTTCTTGTCTTCAGACGACACACAGAGATTTCCATAAGTGCTCTGACTTATTACACAACTATAATCAAATCACACCCCCTTCTGTATGAGGCAGTCAGTATAATTTTTCCCGGCCTTCAAAACTTGAGGGCATTATCCCCTGTACATTTCCATTCAAGATTTTTTTAACTAAGCCACATGAGTCGCCACATGAAACCAAAGATTTGGAAATGAGGTGCGCTGGCCTTTCCTGCTGTCCCGAACCCCAAGGTCTGTGCTTGATGCTTTACCCTAAAGCCATCAGAGGCCTTGACAGCCCCCCCCCCCCGCCCCATGGATTCATTCCAGTGAAGCATTGCATTGAGTTCTTTAGAATGATTGCAGTTCTCAGTGTAATTTGCTACCTTTCCGTCACTGCCTGTGTGTTCAGAGAAACAGTGGCATGATCCCCTAAAAACCAAGACCTCAGTGGAGTCCAAAGGTGCCTTAGGATCTCTTAGGAGCCAAGGCCTGAGATTGCTAATGAGTGCTGGTACATGGACTGCCTATAAATTTGGAAACGTCAGTTTGGTGATCGTGATCCTTTTTGCAAAAGGAAGGTTCTATAAGCTAGTGGTTGTCAGTGGTGTTGGCTTCCTGAATAAAGAAGTTACAGTGGCCAGAGCTTGGTGTGTGTGGTGCCTGGGAGGTAGATAATAGTGGTGAAAGGGGTTAGAATAGTAAGAATCTTATCACCATACTCTTCAGCCAAGACCACAGCACATGTGAGGGAGGAGGCGGCCATTTAAACCCTTCAGTTTTCAAGAACCCCTACCATGTTGCTGGTGAACTAAAAGAACCATGAGGTTTAATGTAATGGAACATGTCTATTCAGGCATGTTCTCTTTGTTACGATCTCTTCAGTACCTTAACCTGTCACTTATTTCTCGGGTACCTGCAGGCATGGCCCCTGTGTTTGGGTTTTATGTCATACCATCCCTGAGTTTGCCTGTCTCTCACCAGTGAGGGAGCTTCAACTTTTCACCCATGGCCACACAGGAGTGGTTATGCGGCTGCAGACTGCCCAGACTGGTTTTTTCAACCTTCCTCTCAGGAACCGGATCACTTACTGGGGGACTGTTCTGCACAAATCTGGGGTGTATTCCATCTAATCTTTAAATAGCATCGCAGCATCGTAAACAGGATACTTGAGTTGGGATTGGGAGAACCACATTCCTGGCTTATACTTGCTTACCCCAGAAGCCTGGCTAGGCCCTGATTGCTTCTTTGTGGGTGTTTTCAGGTAAAAGATTTAACGGCCCTGCATTGAAAGCCATCTTGATGAAAACAAGGGCCCTTAGGCTCCTGCTGCTGGGACCATCTCCTTGCAGAAGTGTTTCTATTGCATGCTGGTTATGGCCTTCCCTGTAGCTATGCTGGCCCCCTGACCAAGGGACTCAACTGGGAGCCTTTGACAGAGAGGGTCAGGAGTCTTCCCACTACTAAAGAACTAGCTTGCTTTGGTGGCTTCTTTTACTTCAGGAGAGTTTGATAACTCTCCACACCTGCCTACTGCACACCTTGTGGCTTTCTTTAAGGTACAGCAGGTAGCTTTTTCCAAGGGAGAGATGGAGGATTCAGGGCCTGCTCTACTTGCTGGGTCAAGCCCTTCAGACTATGCCAGCCTTTAAAATGTGAGCATGGAAAGGTTGTATAAATTGAACCAGGTGATTACACTCCACGTGTGTGTGCGTGCGTGCGTGTGTTTAGCATAAATGCTCTGGGACTGGGTGCCTGGAATGGTTCCTATGGCCTTTGACTCTGGCTTTGTAGGACCTGCCTGTCCACAGTGCATCAGAAACTGTTCATTCTGGTTGCACTGCTGGTCCTGAGACTTGAGAATTATTTTACCTCATGCCGTGAATGAGTTAAAAGAGAGCTATTTGGTGAAGTGATAACTGAAATAATTTTTAAAAAATTCTTCAAAGAGTTTTGAAATGGTTTAACTTTAGTGGCCCTTTGGTAGGATTTTCTTGTACTTTCCTCCCTGTGTTAGTTAAAAGATTTTCTTGTTTGTTTTTCTAAACACCACCAAGCTTCCTGGAGAACAGTTATGGAGGAGAATGAGGGAAACTGCTAGGGAGTGGGGGTTGGGTGAGTGTGGGACTAGGTAATTTAGCTTCTCTCCTTTCCAAATCAGTAAATATTTACAAATGACCTTATCAGATCCTTTGGCTACACTGACCCACGTGAAAGCTACTATTCCGGTGCTGCTTAGGGCTCCCGCTGCGCCCCCTCCCCCTGTTTTAAAGCAGTGTGCTGCTCTGTGACTAGTGGCCTCTAGCCAGCCCAAAAGTGGTCTTCAGAGGAAGCTCACCCCCACCCCCAGGGGACAGTTTTAGCCAATTTACACTTTAAAGTGTAACCTCTTCTAAAGATTCCTAGGGACCAGAGCTGACCCCCACTTCCTCCCCCCCAAATAAAAACAAACAAACAAAAAAATACATTGGATTCTGGCTTAGGTTTGCTATTGTTGCCTGAAGTCTTTTGTTTCTTGGAGGAAGGCAATTATAAATTCCATTCCAAACATAAATGTTCTTTTGTGAGCAAGTTGGGGGGGGGTACGACAAAAACAATGAGTGGATTACTTTTCCATTTCTGTAAGATCGTGCCGGTGTAATGTGGTTTAAAACAACTGGGACTTTTAGAGCAGAAATGGAGCGTTGAGGTTGTGTCAGTACTCTTAGCATGAATGCCAGCCAAATTATAGATTTTTGGAAGAAAATATGTATTTCCTTCCAAATTCAGACTGAGAATAAGGGATTCTTGTATTCGGGCAGTTCAGATATGAGCATTGTGTTATTGTGTCAGCATGATCTGGTAGCAACCCCTTCATCTGATTTGTCTGACTTAGTGCAAAGAGAGCGACAAGCATTTTATGGTGTCCTGTTGTCAGGACACCATTCAAGTCTGAGAAACCGTTACCAAATAACAGGCTTTCAAGAGTAACTACGGTAAGCTATGTATTTGCCTCCTACAAAATACGTGGTACTGTATTAATATAATTAATAATACTGTATTAATACATTTTCTTTTTCATTTTTCTTTGCAGAGTATTGGGAAAGGGTCATTGTGGTGCATAGACCCAGAGTATAGACAAAATCTAATTCAGGCTTTGAAAAAGACACCTTACCACCCACCACCCACCCCTCAGGCTTATCAAAGGTAAGTAAATGGAACTCTCAGATTTTTTTTTAAGTCTCCTGGAATTGTGTTATTCTAGAAGAGTCAGGCTCTAAAACTAATTTAGTAGCCTGTATGAGATTTTCAAAAATAACTGCAGATAAATGAGGAAAAAAATAAGCATGATTAGGAGGCATCCATTGATGTATTTCCTGGGAACCTTACCATTTCTGCTGCTCCAGGGGAGTGTGTCTCCAGAAGTCTTCCCGGTAGGTAAAATACTGTCTTCCTAGGTAGAAACATTTACAGAGAAAAGTTGACAGCTTCCATATCTCCGTGTGTCACATTTTGTTGGGTAAGAGTGGCAAGGCAAACAGGTGATTCCACCTTCCCCTAGCCTGACTGTACAGATGTTGAGAGAAGGCTCACTGGCTTGTTGTCATCCCGTTTCCATGGAGACAGGCTCCTGAGTGATGGGTTTGTTGTGGTTACTAAGTGTTTGCCTTGAGAACAGTGGCCGTTTTTCTTCCTCACATGTCTGTTTGTCAGGAGATTGAGGTCACGGATACATTTTCACAAATATATAATGGTGGGGGATGGGGTGGGGGTGGAGGGAGGGCGTGGAGTGGGGTTAAGTAGATCGCCTCTGTTTGAAAAGCACTGTAGTACAAAATCAGAAGAAAGGGCCATATAGAACAAAGGGCCAGATTTCAAAGTGTGGAGTCTTACCTACTCATGGTATATGTCATTAATCCTACCAAGAAAGTTTTTGAAAATTATCTTGTTGATTTATGTGTACCGGTGTTTTGTTTGCCTTTATGTCTGTGTAGCACTTGCATGCTTGGTGTCTGGGGGCTGGAAGAGGGTGTCACATCCTCTGGAACTGGCACTGCAGATGGCTTGAGCCACATGTCAGTGCTGGGAATTGAACCTGGGTCCTCTGGAAGAGCAGCCAGCGCTCTTCATCACCGATCCATCTTTCCCGTCCCCTACCGAGAAATTCTAAAAGACATGTAGCAACGTTTCTTTTGTAACTCTCCAGTTTAAAGAAATTGCCCCTGGAGTAGACATGTGTGTTAATTGGGGATGGCCCGATGCCTGAAGCCGGGGAATTTTACAGTCCACTTGCAGATTTTGCTGTTCTGATGTTTGTTCGGAAGGAGGGCGCACAAAGTGAGCCTCTGACGTGGCATTAATGAAGTTCTAGTGCATTCCATCACAGGGCCTAGACAATCCGTCTCCGGCAAGAGACGGGAGAAGCAGCTGGGCTCTATGAGAAGACTGCTGTATGTCTGCCTTTGCTAGGCGATTAGCGTGATGGTAGCCATAGCAACTGGAGTGTCTCCATAGTAACGTGTAGCTGAGACAGGTGCACTTGCATCACAAGGCTGTTTGTTGCCTGGCAAAAGGACAGGCCATTAGTACTTAGATATACGCTGTTGCCTTAGAAACAAATAATCCTCCATAGCAACTACTGTTGGTTCACAAGGGTATTTTTTAGGGGCTTTGGAGGTGGGGGGGGGGTAGACCAAGGTTGTAGCAGCTTTTGTCTGTGTTCATAAAAATCAGTGGAAGCATACTTTATTTGAAATGACAACTTGAGGTCATATAGCTGTAGGAGGAAAAAATGGGATTTTCCAGAGCAGCCTAGCCTGCATTGTAGAAATGTCCAGGACAGAGCCGTATGCTTGACTTTCTGTGAGTGATTGTAACCACTCCTGAAATGGAAACTGGGATCGGAGTAGAATTGCTCCTTTATGGGGTTGGTGGGGATCCTGGTTGAGATATTTTCCATATTCCCAGTTTCTGACCCCCACGCCACTTGTTTCTCTAGTTTCTACCCTAGAAGTATGTCACACACGCTTGCTTCTAGCAAGTTAAAAATGTAAGTGTTATTCACTGGGTCGTGTCAATGGTTCATTTAGGCCAGTGTCTTGTTGCCAAATGTGACCCCAAGGGAAGCACTGCAATTATTTAATAATTTGAAGGATTATAACAGAGCTCTGGGGTTTGCAAGTGGAATATACTCTGGCCAGAGGTGCTGTTAGCTGGGCATAGCCTAATGGCTTCCCTTGAGTTTTAATATGGGTATAAAAATGCAGATGAACCAGAGTTTTTATAGTAAAAATAACTTCCGTTTCTCTCAGTTAACTGAGGGTGGAGGGCATGGTGGCTTTTCGTTAGTCACCCATGCAAGTGCTTAGATTTCAAGTCCATCAAGGTCACTGGACGTGGAGTGAGGTGACAGGTGACATTCCAGCCTGTCTCTTCCATATTGTGACTCCAGAGAGTGCCTTGCTCTCTGCATGCCCTTGAAGAGTTTGCTCGAGGAGCCTACATTGCGTGAAATCACACTGAGGCTACACCATGCCTGGTAGTTGGCAAGGACTTTCTACGCACCAGGCCACCTGTTGAGGTGACTCTAGGAAGATGGAAGTGGAACGGCCAGTCATAAACAGATTCCTCAATGCTGAATTAACCATGACTTAAGGGATCCTTGTCAGCCCCGTGCGGAGCCACTGTGAAGGGCACCTGGGAAGTGCTTGGCATGCTGGGAAGATGGTGATTATTCAGGAAGGCTCGCAGGTGTGCTTGGCAGCAGCGGTGGACTGTGCTGCAGGTGGCTGGGAGCCCTGTGAGGAATCAAGGCATCTGAAAACACTGGCCAAGCCTTGTTCACATCCAAGTGTAACTCCAAACATTGCATTATGTCAACTTGCTCCTGTTTTCCAAGATTTTGTTGAAATGTTCCTCCACACCCTCTTTCTTTTTCATACTAAATACTGTTTTTACCTTAAATGCAGAGAGTTAGGTGACGTTAACCTTTGTATTAGTTTACGTATGCCATCATGCCAGAGTACCACAATTGAGTGAGTAAACAGCGTAAACGTGTTGTCCCACAGTCCTAGCTGCCAGGAGTCTGAGGTGTTAGCAGCGCTTGTTTCTTTTCCAGCTGTTGGAGAAGATCTGCCCAGCCTCTTCCTTGGTTCTGGTGGCTTCCTGACTAGCTGTGGTATTCTTCACCTTGTCTTACACTTCTCATGACTTTCTCTAAATTTGTCCTTCTTAGGAGGACACTAAGCATATTCGAGTAAGAGCCCACCTTATTCCAGTGTGACGTTAGCTTCCCCAATGACAAATCTGAAATGCAGTCACATTCTGAGGTACTAGGGCCTAGGACTTCTACAAATTAGAATTTGTAGCATTCTGAAGAAGCAGGAAGTATGGGTGTGTTGAAAATGCAAAACAGTAGGGGAGTTTCAGGACACTGGTACCATCCTAAAACTGCTTCTGCGAACCAACTGGGACAATTGGAACAATGAACTAAATGATGCTAATTATGTTATAAGTGAAATATAAAACAAGTACCTATGAGCCTGGATTAATAGAAATAAATGAACTAAATTTCCCATAGAGGAAAATCTCGTGTCAGTGATGGGAATAGTTCTTTCTAAGGACTTCTTTCAAAGAGTGGATTATAGAGAAGGATCCCAAAGGATGTTTATAGTGAGCAGACTTGACAAATGCTACCTGTCAATCAAAGCTCCTCATCTGGGGCTAGAGAGATGGCTCAACGGTAAGAGCACTGGCTGATAATCCAGAGGATTCAGGTTCAATTCCCAGCATCCACATGGCAGCTCCAAGTCCTCTCCAGCCTCTGTGGGTACTGAACACAAACGTGGCACAGACATACATATAGGCAAAACCCCATATATGTATGTATGTATGATATATGATATAATAAGTATTTTTAAGCTCCTCTTCTGTGGTAGAAGATAGCAGGCAAACTTACTATGATGCTATGTTGTGTAGCCAGTCTCTGACCTCTGTGACAGCACCTGTGGTAAACAACTAAAGGAGAAAAAGATGGTTTTGCTCACAATTTCTGTTCATAGTCCCTTGGCTCTGTTACTTTAGTAAAGTGGAAGCCTTTACATTCATTGTGGCAGGGTCTTAGTGGAAGCTCCTCATGACAGTGGGGCAGCAGAGTGGGGAGGGAGGGAAAGGGGGAAGGAAGGAATGGGCCTGGAGTTCTAAAATTCCCTTCAAGATCATGCCGCCCCCCCAGTCACCCCCACTGTCTCCCAGCCTAGAAGCTAGTGACAAACCCTTTAGCATGTGGGTCTTTGGGGGTGGAGGGGATGTGTTAGTTCCAAGCCAAATGGTGGTCTTCCTGCTGAAAGCCATAAGCTCTTTTAACCACAGGGAAAACTCAACCGTCAGTTTTGTCCTCCACCAGGGTCATCTCCAGAACATAGAGTTGGCACTCCTCATGGCTGCTGAGGTCATCAGAAACAAGGAATGTCTGAGAAACTTGTGCAGACTAGAGCAGGCTGGGGAGACATGGTGACTACATAGAAGACATGACCCTGGAATAGAAAAGGGACACAGACAGAAAAAAGTGAATACCAGTCACTGTGCAGAAAGCAACATTGATTTCTTAGTTGTGAGGAATGTGCCATAGTAACGTAGGATGTTAACAAAACCGGAAACTGAATGGGTGCACATGGGAGCTCCCCAAAACAAAAAACCATCTCCCCAAACATAGACTAGTTGAGTTTGTTTGTTTGTTCTATTAATTTATACCCAAATCATTCTTGCTGCAAGAAGGTCAACAGTCCTTGCCTGACCAAGCAGTTGTCCGAGGACTTCAATGTCATTGTCACAGTGTCATTGGAGAGCTGATCATCAGGGCTTCTTACTGCCAGTCCTTGTAGGGTCTGCTGAGCCACAAGAGGGGTGTCATGGTCATTTAACCTTCGTTCTTGGCCCTGTCTCATTGTGAAGTAGTGTTCAGCTGTGCTTTGTACAGTCCCCGTGGCTGAGTTCAGGAACTGAGGCCAAATCAGCTTGCAATACAGACTCCACACCTTTGCCAAGGTCAGGTCAAGCATGGGCTTTAGAGGAGGGAGAGCTGTTAGTTTTGGATGTCTTGACTTTTATTCTGGAAAGCCCAGGGGCTGATTTAATATCTAGCATGTATGGCCACCCTTCCTAGACGGGGCCTTTCTCGTGAAAGGATAGACATGCTTTTTACAGATGCTGCCGGAGTGCCTTCTGATGCAGTATTCTAATCTGGGTTCCCACCAGCTTCCATCACATTTGTGTATAGGTGTGCATGCAGGTAGGGGTCTAAAGACAACTTTCAGGAGTTCTTTCTTTCTACCGTATGGCTCCTGGGAGTTGAACTCAGGTCCTCATCCCCCTTTTAAATCTCTGATATCCCTAACAGCTGATATAACCAGAAGCCAGAGAAAGAGCGGGCGTGGGTGTGGCAGCGTATTGGGGCCAGCCTGGTCTACAAAGTGAGTTTCAGGATAGCCAGTTACACAGAGAAACCCTGTCTCAACCTCTGTGTGTGTGTGTGTGTGTGTGTGTGTGTGTGTGTGTGTGTAACCTCAGGCATGCTCTGTATGTTCTCTCTCTCAAGCTCTCTCTGTCTCTGTCTCTGTAGCAATTTAATTTAATTTGGAGCCACAAGAAGGACATTAGTGGCCTCTTCCAAGCATTTGGCCTTTCTGATATTAAGGTCC